TGCGAATAAGCATCAAAAATTTGTTAAATTGCTAGTCAATTTAACTCGTGATATTACTGCGGTAGTTTAGTAGAGTTAGCGTTTCAAGACCGAAAAAAAAAATTTTTTTCGGCGCGCGTTTCTATGGAACTACATACATAGTATATAAATTCACATAAGAATCATACGAGCATTAAGATCTAGCTAGACCGTTTAAGGCTTTGATTTCTATAGTTTATGTTTATTATTTCGAATAAGTCGTATCACTCTTTTATCGACTCCTACGATTTTATATTTAAAATAAATTTCTGGAACTTATTTTATATTTTATATTTTAAATAGGTCGTATTAGTTATTTTACTGAGCCCTGGTTTTGTGTGCACATTTGGCTTTATTATTCTGTAAGCAACTTTTTCTGTTACATTATTTTACCACATTATTTAGGAGATTATCGTGGAATAGGTTAGGTGGTCTACAATGAATCATTTTGACGTAGTAAACAATGAACATGGTATATTGTAGACCACATAACCTTTTTTATGATAACCTTCAAAATAATAATCCATTGTAATAATTATTTAGGATAGGGCCCCTCCTCCCATCTAAAATCTCAATAAAAATATACTCATTTGACGCGTTTTCACTCAAAACGAAAGAAAAACGCGGTGATCGGCCTTGTGAATCCTCACCACCTTATAATTATCTATTTTATAAATAAACATTTTAAAATATAGCAAAACTAAAATAATCCCAACAATTCGCAGTATATGTAGTTCTATTATTAAAAATAGCTCATTGTGTAACACCCCTTGTACACAATGATCCATTTCCAGTTTTTTAAAATAATCGAAATTGTTACTAATCTTCAGGGATAACTTAAAAGTTATTATTTACAGTATGTAGTCAACTAAATTCATAAACTGTATGCAAAAATTCAGACCTTCAATTCAATAATTGAGAGAAATACGAGCCTCTGAAATTTACATGGTTCATTGATGAACCACTTACCCTACATGAAAAAGTTATAAAATAGTCAAAAAAATATTCGGAGATTCAGAAAGCACATTCCGAAAGAGCTTGGAAATCTCTAGGAGATATGTCTATTCGATTTACATACGCCAATTCTTATAGGACTCCTGGACGTTTTCTTCTTACGAGAAACAAAGTCCATCTTGTCATTAATTCTCGTGGCGAGGTCTTATATGAAAATGGCAGATCTTGTTCGGTTTCTGCTGTCAATCAGCCGTCAAGTTATGTTAACTGATTCTGCTCGATTTCTACTCAAGTAACACACAATTGTCATAATGACATTAAATTGACGTAAACTTTGGGTCACGTTGAATATGTCACGCTTAACGTTTTTTGATCGAAAAATTTGACTGTTAATTATGTCATTTTGACATCATTTTGATATTATTGTATAATGACCTCTAATATTTAACTGATTAATGATGTCATTTTGACATAATTTTGGTAACATAATGACCTCCAATAAAAGGATTTTTGGAAATCTCTAAAAAGATAGGAAATTCATCAGTAAACAAAATGGGTGCTTTCCATTTGATGACACAAGTCGACACAAGCGTCGTTCTATCCTTGTTGACATTCAGAGTTGACAAAGATAGAACGACACTTGTGCCGACTTGTATCATCAAATGGAAAGCATCCATTGTTACATGTAACGTGCATGTAACATGAAATATCAACAAAACAAGATAACTGTAATATAACACACTGTTACATTACCTTGTTTTGCTGACATTTCATGTTACATGATGTACATTACATGTAATATTGTGTTTACTGGGAATTTTTGTTTTAAATAATAATTATACACAAAGTATAAAGAAAATTGTTGTTTAATGAAACATTTTATAATTAAATACATTTATATCCATGAGAAAACAAAACATCAATAATTACAAAAAATATGAATTAGTCTATAAAATGTTAGATTTTATATTAAAGATATTGTTTATTTATCGTATATAAAGTTATTACGTCATTGTAGTTGAAAATGTCGAATTATTATAATAGTAAATGTTAAAAAAGTTTCTGATTGTAGCCTAAATTGTAGATTTAAATTATATATAATTAACTTTCAATACGCTTTTAAAACTTTATGACGATTTTTCATATAAAAATAATCATGCATGCATGCATGTATACTATAAGTAAATGTATAACGTTACATATAAATATAAGGACCGCACCTAGACCACAAAATAACTTTTAATAAAATCTGCATAAACAATAAAAAATATTAATAGCTAAACATACTCTTTGAAATATTTATCTGATCACAGTCCAAAAAATTAAGAAAATTAAAATTATAATTACTTAATTCAACTAAAAACTTTAATAATAAGGATTAAATAAGCTTTTAATAGATAGTCTATAGTTTGGTTTAGGACAAGTGGATAAAAAACTTAATATAAAGGAAAAATAATATCAAAAAACAGTCTAGTAAATAAGTTATATTTCTATTGAGATCTCTGAGCAGATGTATTTAACCATCTCTTTAAAAATTTCATTGCTTCTGGTAAATTAGTTTCTTCAAATTTCTTTAATACAGCGCTTGAAAGGATTTATTTTGTAACAGAAAAATTTTTATCTTATCGCTATAACATAATTTATATGTCAATTTTTATACATTCTATAACTTGATATAAATGAGTAGGCTCAAAAAAAATTTTGGTATCCCCAGTTCCTTTCCAACTAATGCATCGAGTAAGATTATTCGAAATAATCTTGGATAAAATAGAGCGAACAGCAACATTTATGTTAGTGGTAACTGCCATGCAACCTGCAAGATAATTAGCCTATGTATAATTAAAAAATACAGATACGAGTATGTATTGCATATACACATACATATGTATACAAATATATATAAATTTATAGATCCCACACAGCAAAAATTTCCAAAATACATCAGACAGATATCCTAAAGATATCACATATCCCAAATATATATTTTTAAGATATCTCTAAGATGTATTTTTGATACATTTGCTGTGTGGGATAGAATGTATATGTATACGAATATATAGATAGATAATTTTAGATTTATCATTCAT